GAACTTCTTCTCTCTGAGGGTGACGGAGCACTGGAACAGGCTGCCCAGGGAGGTTGTGGAGTCTCCTTCTCTGGAGATATTCAAGACCCGCCTGGACAAGGTCCTGTGCAGCCTGCTGTAGGTGACCCTGCTTCGGTGGGGGGGTTGGACTAGATGACCCACAGAGGTCCCTTCCAACCCCTACTATTCTGTGATTCTGTGATTCTGTGATTATGTGTTTGTACCAGGCTTTCAAGATGCTTTCCCTAGCCATTCTCTGGGGGCAGCTCTTGGAGAAAGGAAATGGTGAGTAGGACTTGATCACACCTATGTGTACTGATTGCTGCAGTGTTACTCAAGATTTACTATGGTTACTCCCCTGTGCTGGAGGGAGCAGGGGTAAGAGGGGTTTAGGTCAGTAAGAGGGAGATGAATTCAGCCCCCACGTCGCCACACCACAGTTACAGAGAATTTCTGGGGGGGTGTCCACCCCTAGCATTTTCCATGAGAAACAGGCACAAACTCAGAGGCCTCTTTCTGCAGGCAGAGGAACTACTGCATAATTTGTATTTATTCAACTGAGAGCAAAATCTGGGCTGAGACCTCAGAGTCACGGCACCTGGCCTCCACCCCCTGCCAGACAGCCATCTGCTATGTGACCTTGGAAGAACCTCTCTGCTGTGCTGAGCACTGGCTTCGTGACCTGCTCCAGAGGGGACGAACCTTCCCACTGGTGCCCGCAGCTGCCAGGGGAGCATCACCGGGAGGCTGCGTACGGGGTCCTCCCGGGCACTGGCTTCAGCGCCTGTCTCGAGGCTGCGGTGAAAGCTCAGCAAGCCCCAAATCCTGTGGAGGGCTGGAGGGAGAGGTGGTGAAGCTGCCTGGGCATGGCAGCAGGGAGCCCTTTTTGGAAGGGCGGTTCAAAGTGTGCCAAAGAGCCTGGGTACAGCAGAGCCCTGGGAGCTTTCCCCAGCAATGCGATCAGGCTCCTTTTTGGGGGCTGGAGAGGTGGCGGCCGGGCTTCGCACCTCAGCGGGGGGATACCCCATGCCTGCCGGCTGGGGTGCAGTGACCAGGTCTGCTGTGTAAGGGGGAGGAGGTGAGTGGTCCTCTACACCTTCCTGCAGAGAAGACCCTGACGCGTTGTGTGCAGAGAACAAGCACACAGAAGGTGCTGAGGTCATTTCATATTTCTCTACAGGCCTGATCATCTCCATGTCTGACTAATTCCACTTCCAGCCTTTGGCTTTAGGTCCTTTACTGGTGGCAAGGCAGGAAGAAGCCCATCTGCTCTGAGAGACTCAGCATTAACTGCTGGGAACATATCACTCTCACCCCAGGGTTTCTCCCCTGCTATGGCAGCACCTTGGCAGGTTTGGGATTTCAGGCATCTGATTTCATGAGATTTCTTTTAATTCCCTTCTGAGCCTTGGCAGTGGCAAAAGAAATGGCCCACCCCCTTGCTCTTACCAAGCACCACGTAGCATCTTGAAATACGTAAGACTTCAGGGGTTTCCACTGCAATTTTGTGCCGGTGGGGACCTTGCCTTATTAGGCTAGCATTTAGCTGACTCTGTTTAACCAGCCTCGTGATGCTGCTGCTGCTTGACAGAAAGAGCTTGGGAAAAAAATATGGGAAGGTCTGAAGTCAGGAAGTCCAGGAGGTCAGCAAAGTGACCTGTGGGTACATGGGAGATAGACGACCCCTTTATCTTTCAGAAAAATCAGAGATCTGTTTCCAAGTCTGGCAACTTGCGGGCTCTGTAGATGATCTCCCGTCTCTAAACCCTCTGTGTGTAAACACAAACCTCCAGCTCAGCCTGATTTGGGGTCCCCTAACAGTATTGATGGCTCTGCTTTTCTTCAACTCTTTTCTAGTCCCTTGAATGCCTGCTGGGAAATGCAGTTGCAGCAGCAGCAGATAGCCTGTGTGACTATCCTACGCTGTATTTTTAAGGGTGTAAAAATACAGCACCTCACAGGTAGCTGTGCCCATATATTTAACCTTGTGGATTTACAGAGGGTCAGCCTTTCCCGTCACTTCCAGCCTGTTGGTAGCCGAGTCCCTAAACAGCTGTGCATTAAACCTGATGGTAAAAAACATGGAGTATCCACAGCTCCCACTGACTTGATCGAACACTCTAGGTGCTCAGCACCTTGGCAGACAAGGCCCAACACAGCCATAACAGCAGTGGCTTCCTCTCTGCACCTGTAGTCAGTAGGAGACTCTTAGTCCGTCACGGTTCTTCAGAGCTCGATCTGAGCTCAGAGCCTGCCTGTGGATGTATCTGACATCAGGAGAGGGATATACCTATTAGTGAGGCTGTTTTGGGAAAGGAGGGGACAGGACAGAATTTGATTTTGGCCTGCGATGCCTTGGAGAAGATCATCTTCTGTACAGACCTAAATTAAAAGCATGGGCAAGCTTCCCACTCTCTGCTGCCTGCAAGCCACCCTGCTCTTTGCGGGAGGGCTGACTGGGGAGGAGGAGGGAAGCCATGTTGTCACCGTCCCATGGTGGTGAGCTCTGGTTGCAGCACAGGTACTGGGAGTAGGAAAACACCAGCCAAGATCTCAAACCTGGGTCATCAAATTGCCAAAAGGTGGTTGTCATCCTGATTTTTAGTGAGAGGGATGCCTTAGAGGGGCAAGCCTGCAGTGACAGAATGTTTACTCACTTTCCATGCCCAGGAGCATCCTGTACGCTACATACCTTTTGTGCTCCTTCACGAATTCAACCAGCTCCTCTTCTGTGTATGGCTTATCAGGAATGTGAACAGGCTCGTCCATAAACGGTTCATAGAAGTCCACCTCATTCATCTTCAGACCTAGCTTCTTGGCAACCTGTGGCAGTGCAGATGGTCAGAGGTGAGTGAGCCTGATGTGCTTTTTTGCCTACCCAGAGTCTTCCCCAGTGGCAGAGCTGAGGTCAAGGTGCTTGCTCTCTTTCAGAGCGTGTACTCTTAGGGGTCACCAACAAAATATGAATGGATCTTTCCTTGGTTAAAAAAACACTGATGTTTTCTACACTTCTGGTCTCAAGCACTGGGGCAGAGCAAGGCCAGAGTCAAGGTTCTGCAAACATAATGGGCCCGGTTTCCGAACCCAGACCAGGACCTGCCTCCACACTGAGGCAATGGCCTTTCATCTTTTGACAGGGCCAATTCCAAATGTGGACACCAATACCACAAATTACAGGAACGCTGAAAGTGAGAAGCTGGAGCCAGATATAAAATCTGGGAATGTCCTGAGCTTCTGCAAAACAGGTGGTGGAGGCTGTGAGGTCCCACAGTCAGGTCCCTGGATGCTTACCCCTTTGTCGAAGGTGGCAAAGAACTTGATGTATGGCTGGAAGTGTTCGGCGGCTTCTTCAAATGCCTTGTAATCTAGAAGGAGAAAAGGGGAATGAAGAGAAGATTTCACATGAAGCTGGCCATGCTCTGATCAGAACAGAAGGTACTAGGGAAGAACAAACGTAAATTATTGCAAAATACATCAGATGATGGCACTATGTTTCTTCCACCCTTCCAGCATTTACAAACAAGGACCATTTCATGTGGAGCGAACAGGACACACGTTGTGCAGTCCCACAGTGCTTGGGAAAACTACAGATCCCAGAATGCCAGGCTTAACTGGGACCAAAATAAGCAGCCCTGAGAAGGAGGTCCAGGGGTTACAAGTCCAGCCTGTTGATAAGGGTGTTTGCAGCTGCCCTCTTGCACAACCAGTAGTTCAGCCTGGGAAATACATGAGTTGCTCCAGCATTTATGATTGCTGCCATTCCCTAAACAGTCACCAAGCATGATTTGGCATGCTCCTCCTGCTGCAGGAGGAGGGGGCAGGAACGAGGTATGTTTTTACTGTTATCAGTATCAGGTCCTCAGCTGGGGTCAGGAAGGATGCTCTCAGCCTGGTGGGAGCTCTTTACAATAGATATTTCCCAACTTTCTTCAAAATACTTATTACTGAACAGCGTTAGGGGCACAGTCCTGCCCAAGCTGCCCTGCAGCCCGTTTTGAGCAGGTAAGAAAGCAGAAGGGAGAGGTAGCTGGGCTGTTGTGATGCAGCAGACCTGGTGACACATTGCTCGTTCAGGTAAGAATACCTGCTTTTTTTGCTAAAAGCAAGCCTTGCAAGTGTGAGGTCCATGCTGCCAGCACTGCCTGGAGAGCGGGGGGAGCGCTCGGGGCTGGCAGAGGACACTGCTGCGGCTTGCTGGGGAGAGGCTCAGCTGAGCGTTTCTCAAGCTGATGGTTTTGATAGCAATGGTCTCCAAGTTGCACATCCCTCAGGGCATGGGACCAGCCTCTTCTCAGTCTTGGGGTCCAGGGAGGAGAAACAGGTAAGTGCCTCTGCTGGGCTGCCCTAAGGCATCCTGCTTACTGCTGCCGTGTGTTTGCCAAGATAGTATTTAACGTGTGTCCGTCGCTTTTGCCTTATTCCCCCTTCCCTCTGTCTTTGACTTCTTGGGCTCACTGCTCATAAGAGGGGGAGCTTTGCTCCCTTTAGGTGCTCACCCAGTGTAACTGTAACCTCAGCTGATTTTGGGTGAGGTAGACATACTTTTCTTCAGGAGACCCTGGATAATCACCCCCTTCTCTTGCCAGCAGACACCTTGCAGAAGGGTCCCCACTGATGGCGTAGGAACGGGCACATGCACAGCAACAGCAGAAGCTTGCCTGCAACCCCACCCATCCTCCAGCTTCTTTGGCACTGTCACAGCTTGCCATCTACCCCCACACCCTTAATGTTCATGCAGAAGAACCAATGCCTGACCCCAGCATCCCTAGCCAGGCTCCAAGCCCCACGAGGAACATGTTCATCTTACGTTCAGAGTCTTCTCCTTTGAAGTAGCCGATGAGTTTGATTTCCTCATCGATTTGGTCAAAGGCCTGAAGTTCCAGCTTGCTGTTTATGATTTCCACGGGGTCTTCTAGCAGCTGCCATGACAAATGCATTTGATAACTCAACAATTTGCAGCACCAACCTGTGCCTGGCAGGGTGTGTCACTAGCAGCATAAGTGGGGAGAAAGAGGTCACCCATTTTCTCTGCTGCTGGAAACCCTACTTAGTGCTCTCTGCCTTAATGTGAGGAACTGAGAAGCAGGTCACCTTCAGAGGGAGCTGTTAGTGGGTTCACTGCATAGGTTGAAGAATCAAGAGGGGAAGCTACAAGAGGTCCCATCCCAAATGGATGCTGAGGGACAACAGCTAGTAGGCACACAGAGAAATTATTAGGTAGCTGGTATAAACTGAACGAATAGAAATGCTCTTTTGATGCAATGCATGATTCAGCCACGGAACTCATTACAACTGGATACTTTCATCATCAAAATAGAAATGAGGTAAAAAATAACTACAGAAATTGAAGAAATAGCCACTAAGCACAAGATCAGGGATACAATTTTTGACCCAGCAAGTCTCATTGCTGGTTGTCAGAAACTGGCGATTATATCAGGTGAATGCATAGATTATGTACTTGTACCAGGCTTTCAAGTTGCTTTCCCTAGCCGTTCTCTGGGGGCAGCTCTTGGAGAAAGGAAACTCAGTGAGAAACTCAGTGAGAAGGAATTGAGCACACCTATGTCTACTACACAGGTGACAGTTTAGGCAACCTGCCACCCTGGGGAACAAACCCTGCCGGCTCCGCTGCTCACTGCAAAATGTTTTCACTACAAAGCAAAGACTAAGACTATGATTTTGGGCTGTGGCCTCTCCTGGTAATAAAGCATAAAGAAAGAGAAGTGCAACGCGTTGATGAAGGACTCAGCATCTCTTTTGGATTTAGGCACAAAGGTGAGTACGTAGTTGTGCCCGTGCACAAAATGACCTGAGAGCACTAAGTTCCAGGGCCTTGATCTTCTCTAATTCATGGCAGTGCAATTCGGTAAGTTCACCGAAGAGGCAGTAGCTCACTATGCTCTATGTGCAGTTGTGTTTAGAAATGGGCAAACAGTTTGCAGCATATACCTTTTGCAATGAATTGAGCTCTTTTTAGTTGCTCTATGAGAATGCTACCTCAATTATTTGAAAATAACTCTTCTTTTTTTTAAAAAAAAAACACAAAAGGGTGAAACATTTTGCTCATGGCAAAGTGTTTTCACACCAGCTTGCTGACTGAGGTGGGTGACTAGCAATTAGTTATGTGGGATTGTTGCTTTCTTACAACCAAACACTCCATAAGCAGAAAAGAGAGCAAAACCTCTTTAAGATATAAGTGGCTGGTGGCATATAAAGGTACCAGCTTTCCTGGGAACTCACGATCAGACAAATATTTGGGAAGCTGGTAAATGTCATCTCTACCAGTGTGTAGCAAACAGGGATGGAATTTCAAATAAACTCATGGTTTTTACCAAAGTGAGTATTTGCAAGGTCTTCTCTGAGAGGCTTTATCTAGCTCTGAGCTTATCTGTGCTTACATCCAAGAGGAATTCCACCAAGACATCCGTGGCCAGTTCCCCATCAAATTCAATCAACCGCTCCTCCTTGAAGACATAGAGACTTCCCTCTTCAACCAAGCCTGAGAGAAGGAGACAGGAAACATAATGTAGTCAACATGTCACTAGAAGCATTTTTAACTACAGAGCATGTCACTTGTTACTCTAGCAACACCTCCTGGGAAACGGCAATTGTCAATTCACTGAGTTGGTCCAGTTGGAAGCAACCTGAGCAATGTCCTGGCTGATATTTCATGGCACGAGGCACAGACCTCAGCCAGAACTTCTACTATCTTCTTCCCAAATGTTGAATATTTTCACTCAGGTCACAGTTTGACCTCAGCTGGAAAAATTCTGTACCGAGAACTTGTTGTAGCTTGGCTATCTATATTGCAATAAATAGTGCTGGGCTTTAACTGACACCCCAGATTTGAACAACCTGACACTAGATGGAAAATGGATTTTGATGCGGGCTGTGGTCTCTGCCCAGAGAAGGCTGAACTATGTGAACATAAACAGTGAGCTGGAAGTCAAAGCGAGCTTCAAACTCTTTGCAGCTTAGCTAGCCTTGGCAAAAGGTTTAGAAACCCATGGCAGAGATGCCACAGATGGAAGGCTGGCAGATTTGAATGACATCTCACTGGACTGAGGACTGGTTGCCACAGTTTTTTGGTTGGAGGCTCAAAAATCAGCAGCACTAAGCTCCTGCAATGTATGATGGCAGGGTACCACAGGTCAAGGTAGTTTGTAGTTTGTTCCTTCTTGGAGAGGCAGAAGCTCTCAGCTTTAGTTTAGCTTCTACCAGAACACTTGGCATCTAATTTAGGAAAGAAAATTACAGTCCAGTATTGAGTCCAGTATGCTTAAAGAGTCTCTGATGTTAAGTCTGGTGGTATATTTAGGTGCTCTTGTATTTATGTGCTTTGTGGGCTAAAATATGAAGGAACCACCAGCCCTGGAAGGCAGCTGTTTCCAGGGGTGGGCAATGCAGCAGCCTTGCACCTTTACATGAGGTTTCCTCTTCTGCTCTGGGTAGCAAGTCAGGAAGGGTTGGCACCTGGCTGCCAGACCATTGCAAGGCTGTGGCTCCCCAATTAGTGGCTGGGGGTCACTCTGCCATGGGGCTGGTGACATTTGGGGACCTATGTGATGCCCCTGTAGGTTTTGGCTCTGCACTGCTGTGTCAGACCTGTCTCTGTGCAGGAAGAGCACGGAGGTACTCCATGACATCTATCTATGGTCTCTGCTCAGCAAGCAGTGAGCTTCCACCCTCTCATGGCTGTGGCGCGAATTGTCTTTCTTTTTGACTTGATTTGGTTTGGTTTTGCCACTCTCAGCCAGGAAGGTTTTTACTGGAATCATGCCAGCTCACCCCTCTCATCCTTGCCCCCCCCGACTTGATCCTGCCCATGTTGGGGTGGGCAGGGGGTCAGTGTGCAATTGCCACCATCACCCTCCACATCCTGGTGACAAGGATGTGGCTGCCCTCTATGGTGCTGGCTGTTGGGCATCACTCCAACACCCTCTCCAAGCTATTCCAAAGATACCAGATAAGGGACTGACTTACCTAGCTTTTTAGCAAGTTTGGCATCCTTCTTGGAGTCCACCATCCCAAAGCCGATGCTTCTGGGCTCCAGGACCTGAGCTGCCAGCTGTGGGAGGAACCAGAGAGCCCAACATTAGTGGCACTAACACCACAGGGCAGCTAAAGGGCATCATGCCGTGCTAGCATGGCACGACAGACACAAGTGACCCATATTCTGCTTTTGGACAGCACCAATGGGTGGGATGTGTCACATGCTGCCTCCCAGCTGAGATAACGCTGCCCGGAGGTCACAAGGGTTGGGTTTCTTCCCACTGTGTCGCAGCACCGAGTTTTCTGGCGATACCACGTGCTGCTAACTGCTGTTTGACACCCAGGCATTGGGAGAGGGCCCTGGCTGAATCAGGGACACCAAAGCAACGGGCATGGCTGGGAGAAAGACCTGTGCCACCAACACAAAGAAAAAGCTGTCTCCTCTGTTGTGCCTTGGTGGCCTCCTGTGGGGGAACATGACATGTGGGCACCATGGATGTTTTAACTCTGAAAGTGCTTGGTGTCAGGCAGCAGTGGCTGCAAATTGGAGGGGATGCGGAGCACTGCATCATCACGTTTCTTTCAGACATGTGATGGAGTGGTCAAAGCAGGCTCCCAGCAAAATGAAGCAGGGGGACTCCTGGCTTTGCAGAAGTGGTCCCTTTTCCTACCAAATGCTTTAAATCATGTCTCCTGTCCAAGCTTCAGTCACTTACCAGTTCCTGGTCCCTTCTTTTTCCTAAAGAAATGAGTCTAATCCCAGCCATTCCTGCATTTGCCTCCTTGCAGCTTGGGAAATCAGTGCCCCCCCATTCCCACTATTTTTGATGAAGGGGCGACTTGAAGATATCGAGTTCCTGCCTGTTTTGTGAAAATAGATATGTGAGGAAAGGAGAGATGCTCTGCAAGTGCCCTGTGGTGGGAGCGTTCCTGGGTGAGACCCTGTGAATTCCAGACAGGCTCCGTAGAGAAGCAGTGACCCTGGGAAATGAGCTCCCTTACTCACCAGATGACTGACTTAGCCCCACCACAAGCATGGCAGAGACCCCACAAGGCAGTAATGATGCTCTGAGACCACCAAGCAGCTGTAAGAGCCCCCTCTTCTTCCCTCTCCCTCCCTGCTCCACAAATGCCTCTCATGCTGATGGTCTTCTTGCTGTCCCCCCTCCCAACCCTGCCGGATGAAGGGGGCTGATGGGGATGAGGGATCGGGGGCCTCTGGGACAGGAATGTCCTTATTAGGGCACAGCTCGGTGGTGGGAGGCTGAAGGGGGGAAGAAGAAAAGTGGCCAGAGGGATGGAAGGCTGATTTATGAGTAATGCCCTCCCCCAGGACCCATTTTGGCACCCTTTCCCCGGCCTTAAAGCCAGTTTGAATGTCACCCAGCGGCACTGCCCCCGCGGCCCCTTGGCTCCCTGCTATAAATAGCCTCCGCCTGCTCCTGGCTGCTGCAACAGCAAGCGGTGATTAAAGGTGTTGGGGAGCAAAAGTGTTGGGGCAACCCCCTCGCCTGCGCCCCGGGGCATTGCGGGGCCAGCCAGCCCCCCATACTGGCAGTGTCCAGCCCTTCCGCAAAATCCTGGGGGACATAGCGGGTACCCTGGTAATCAGGTCTTGAAGACCATGTTTGGGTGAAGGGGAGCGATGGACAACATGGCTGTCTTCTCCTTTCCAACAAATACGTGTCCCCAGTCCTGTTCCAAAGCCCTCCAGAAGGGCATTCTCCACTGACCATCACAGCATCACAGCATCGCTGCAACCTTAACCCCCCTGTGGCTGCTGGCCTGTTGTCTTCAGGGGGAAATGCCACCATGTGAGGTAAAAGGGGGGCTCCCTGTTATGCAGAAAACACATGGTCTCTCCATGCTTTCCTTGCTCTCTGCCAGTGCTTTGAAATAAAGGTGAGGCTGAACGTTTAGGGCTTGTGCTTACAGGGGATACTGCCTGTAAGGGGCAAACCACTGGTCCATGTTTGCACATCCATTAACAAGGCATCTGAGCAGTGGTCTGACCAGTCTGGCATCCCATCTCCTGGCTCAGGCCACGGCTATCCATGTTAGAACACCTGAGAGCAGCTGGTACCCAATAACAGAGAGAGAGAAGGGCACCTCTTGTGAGCTCCCTAGGCATCTGCAAGCAGACAGTGGTGGGACATGCTGTTTTCTGTTCCCCATTATGGGCGTCTGCCTTTACTGGACAAAGAAATGGAGCCTGTGTGATTATTATCTTTAGAGAACATTGTCAGCAAGTCCCTGCACCAAGGCAGTTGCGTAGACAAGCAAGAGGTTCCTCAGAGTCAATGCCTGAGGCTCTGGCTGCATTGTGACCAGAGGTAAAACACAGAAAGCCCAAGGGAAGAAGGCTGTCCAGTCACGTCCAGTCCATACTTGATCTAGATACTTACAGCTACGTTCGCCAAGTGCCAGACAAAGTCAAGGCAGTTTAAGCCCAATAGTTCTTGACTCCTGCATACAGGAGATGGTTAGGGTTTCTTGGGGGTGTTTGAAGAAGCTCAGAAACGTGCAGAAAAGCTGCAACACCTGCTACAGGAAAGTGGTTGGGTGTAAGCAGGAATGTTTGCGAGGGAGGAGGCATTGACTGGGAGTAACATGTGTCAGCATGCAGCATACGTGAGGTAGCTCTTTGGAGGGGTGTGGGTGCAGCCATGTAGCTGTGGGCATGGGAGCTTGCTGGGAAAAAGCATACATGTCTAGAAAATGCGGGTGAGGGGATGAAAGCCGCTCTGTGTGAGACTGTGGCAGTGTGCACTTCATTAGGGCTCGGGAGGCAAAAAAGGTCACAGTAATGCTGGAGGTGTGCCTGTTGGTGTGGCAGGGCTTGTGTGACCATGTCTACCAAGACTGTCTCTGGGAGGTGCACGTACCATGGGTACGAGTGCTTGGAGATGTTCCCCTAAAGAGGCCAGTCCCAAGAGAAGACGTGCCACAGTGCGTGACTTCCATGCTTATGAAATAATGAGGTGAGGGGTACAGCCTGTGCCCATCTGCAGAGCACCGGAGTCCTGCACCAGAGAAATCTTTATGTAGCATGAGAGTCTCGGGAGCTTGTTCCACTGTGGCAGAGCCCGGAGGCAGGAGACCTTTGCAGGGTGTCAGTACCTATGATGGCTTTTTCAAGTGCCAGCTATGCAGGGACTGGAAATTGCTCCTGCCCAAGCTTTTCTTGCTTTCCACTGTGGCAGGTAAGTCTGACCAGTGCTTAGGTGAGGATGTATTCCCACACCTATATTTGAAACCCTTAAGGCAGCAGAACAGAGTATGCCTGAGGCAGAGCAGCTTGGCTAGTTGCCCCCTGCTCATTACAGTATCAAGCAGTTATATATCCCCTTACAGTATTTTCTGATTCCATAATGCTAGTGGGATTTGAATGCAGATAATGTTTCTAATCTTGACGATCCTCTTGGCTCGGGACCTTGAGACAGAGGCAGTTGTAATGTAAGAACACAGCCCCTCCTCCTCCTCTCTTTAAACTCATACCACTTGAAGCCTTGGCCGGCCCAGAGCCCTTGCCTTTGTGTCAGCCTCCATAGCAAGTAATTTAGCTTCAACAGCTGCATGGGGAGATGGAGGGGAGAAACTGCTCTGGAAGAACTGAACCTAACTGGTCATGCAGTCCCTGGTGTGTAGCAGGAGCTTTGGGCAGGCAGAGCTGGCTTATACCATGAGCGAAGACCACAGTCACTTCTAATCTCGTATCTCATGCACAGTTTGCAGCCTTCCTCTCGCGTGCTTGGAGCCTTTGCAACGCACACTTTCTAGGATCACAAGCTGTGCCCTCTGTAACCTTGGGAAAAGGCAGTGCCAGTTTGGGAGCACTCCTTTTTCCCACTTCCCTCAGCTAATAGCCATACTTGGATTTGGGTAAGCGTGAGGGAGTGCATGGCTCTCTGGGATGTGTGAGAGGTGCCAGCCCAAAGTGAAGTTTCTGTACCACCAAGTAAGAAAGCACCACCTCATCTTGGATGGTGTCAACAGTTACAGGCAATCTGAATGGGGATGGAAAGAAATAACTCCCTGCCAGAACATCTCAGCTTCACACCTACCCTACCTATCTGAACCTACATGTAATGCTGCCAAGTTTTGGGAGATCTAAGAGGGCCCACAGGGTCCTTCTGAAACCCTAGGTTACAACGCAGCAGAAGCGTCACTGGCTGCCTGACCACACTCCTATTCCAGCTGCAGACAACACTGATTGTGCCAAACCTTGCATTTGGTGTCAATTTTGCTACTAAATGGCAGACAAAATCCAGCAGAGAGCTACAAATGGGTCTTGGGGGGCTGCATGTCTCAGCATGGTCAGTTTTCGTTGTGGAGTGACATTATGGCTTTGTGGCCTGGATTTTCTTCCCACTTCTCTAGCACCTGCCTGGAGCTCCCACAGGCAGTAAGGTTCATCTTCCCCAGCTGCTCAGGTTGGGAAGCAGGGCACTGGGGACATTTAGGGCTCTGTAAGAGCCACCATGAGCAAACTTCTCGTAAGCATGGGGAGCTTTCTCTTTCCC